CGTTCAGGTGGTCGTGATGTGGTTTCATCACCTTCTGATTCTTCTTCCGAAAAATATTTATCGGGAAAAAAAGAAATAAGGGCTCGTTTATGGTAAGAACCCCAATAAATCCTAAGCGATGTTTTGATATGTCAATTCACCAAAATAAATCAATAATGAAAGTAACATTAAACTTATTGAATCAAATTGAGAAAACTTACCTGAAATAATTCTATTTTCCGTTTTTCAAGCTCTCGCAAGAAGTTGTGCAAATCTGATGGCTTTTGAAGTACTGGCATCTCCAACAGATTGAGGTCTTGTTCATCTTGAATAGACATAGACACCGAGTTCGATGAATTGCTGTGGGCGCTGGTGGCTTCTCGCTTCCTGTTTCAATGTTGAGACCTAGAATTCTTATTATCAAAGATAATCATATCATGCAACATGGGTGGCAATGAGTTTTTCCTGTTACCCAGCGAGATTTTTTCCGCATTTTGATGACTCTTTAGAGTTTCTAACAACGCATAAATCCCTCTTCCAGACGAGGTAAGACTTCCTTGTGTTCAGAACATTTTCCACAAGAGCCGCGACTATGTCCACTGGACTAAGAAGTTGCTCTTGTTCAATTTGGTTGATCATTCTGAATTCGAACAGAATGCGCTTGAGACAACGGCGACCTGGAGGGGATGCTACCAAATTCCTAGAACACGATTGCTTTGAAAATTCCTTGTCGTGTGGAAGAATAAATTGAGCCCAGAGTTTCCTTTATTATTGGTCAAAGAGCAAGGCTTATCATCCCGAACTTTCCAGAGAAGTTCGATGCAGTTGTGAAGAAGCTCTCCAAATCCAGGAGTATCAGAATGATTCAGGTTCTGCATGATGACATCGGGAGGCAAGATTGCGAATTGTGACATTCAATTTTGCCTGCGAATTGAAACGTAAAGGTTCATCGCAGAGGCGAGAAGTGAAGATTTTCAAGGTTGGAATATATATATATAAGAGTTGCTCAATTCCGATCTAGATACATTGAGACATCGATCCAGCAAAACGTTTTGTATATGTACACCATCGTTCTGTGGGTCTGTGAGATCATCCAGAAGTTCAATCAGAAGCTTTTCATTCATCAGCGTCCGTATTTCTTTGTTGTCAATATCATGAGTTAAATAATGAAAGGTTTTGAAAACCTAAGGTTCAAGTTGATATAGGATATTCTTTCAATCCTTTAATATTAAAAGGGACCTTAGAAAATTTACAATTACTTTTACTTTCAAAACTTCCTTTTCTAAGCAGAAAATCAGGTGAAAAGTTGATTTTTTATGTGAAAAACATTTTTGTAACTAAAAATAATAATTATTGGTAATACAGATAATCAGAAGACCAGTGTAACACGTGGGAGAATTCATGAAAATTTGAATTTTAACATTTTAAAATAATAATAATCGTCCAATGAAACTTATTTTGCCAAGCCTTTATTCAAACCTAAAATATTGGCCTTAAAATTTTTACCACTTTTAAATATATTAAAAAATCAATTGAAGGAAATTATATAAAAAATTTATACTACCACTCCCCATGTAAAATACCCTAAGGTTTTGAGCGTTTTACTGTACACGAACGGGAAATTAGCGATCATAATCACTTTATTTTTGTAATAATAATTTAAACCATAATCATTATATTTTCTCACTAAACAAACGTTATATCATTTGTTTAAATTAAACAATAAAAAGAAAAAGGTGGTATGTTCAAAATAATATATCAATACTAAAATCAATAAAAAAAATTAATTACATTTCAAGATACTAAATATGACTAATAAAATTTTTAAGTAAATTGGGATCAGTTCTTTTAGACCATCGAACAAATTATTTCATTTTTATTAAAATAATTAACGGGTGATAATTTTGATCTAACCATACAACTATAGATGTATTTCTTAATTTAATATTCATAACAATAGAATTACATTCGAGATATATAATTAGGAGTTATAGGAATGTCATCATCACATATTAATAAATAGAAACGAGGCATCATATATTTTAGAAACATACTCATTTAAATTGTTAATATTTTAAAATGTAGAAAATTTTTTTTAAAGCCTTTAATAAAATTTTATAATTTTAAATTTTAATTTAATTTTACAATAAATGTTTATTAAAAATAATAAAAATTTTTGCTTTTTTTTGCTTTTAATAGTAATATTTTATTTATTTAATTTATTTGAAAAATTTTGCTCGTCAACCGGCAATTTTTTTATTATATTATTTACGATTACTTGTAATTAATTTTGTGAAAAAATAAGCTAAAATTGAATAAGAGGTTATATTTTTAATAAAATTTAATTCACAAGAAAGATTTGGTAAAGCATTATATAATTATTAATTATATTTAAAAAGGCATAAATTCTGTAGATTTTTCATATATTAGTTTGAGTATTTTGAGATTATTTTTTTGATTTTGAATTTTCTGCACTTTCAAATAATTTACTATTCTAAATTATTTATATCTTTCAATTCTGTTCTTAGGTAAAATGGTAAATATAAATTCGTTTTCAAATTTCAAGATATCATTTAATAAATAAACTTTAATTTTATATTGTAAATATAGAAATTTTATTGGGAAATTTATTAATACATTAAATAAAAATAGGTTTAGATTCAATCAATAAATATTTTAATTGTTATTACTTTTGAAGTATTGAAAAGTAGTCTCTTTTTATTGACAGAACAAGTTATTCTAATGATTACTATTCGCGCCTAGTGCTCGGGTCGGGTCGGGTTTGAAGCATATTCGAAACTCGAACCCGTTAATAATTACAGAACCCGAGATTCGACTCGACCCGATCATTGTTCGACTCGGATTCGACTCGACCCGATTAATGTTCAACCATAAACAACCCGGGACCGACTCGAATTTCAAGGGTAATATTAACTCCGAAATAAAAAAGCGTCGTATATAGTTTATTTTACAGTATTTTAAAATTGT